GAAGAATATGTATATAAAGAAAATTTGTTTAATTACTTTATTTTTCACTTCTTCAACCATATCATCATAACATAATGTTGTAATCGGTTTGATTTCGTAACAAAATTTCAGTGCACGAGACAATTCTGCAAGTGAATCAACACAAAAACCTTCAAAAATCATTATTTGTATAATTAAGATTTGTTAAATCAGTTATATTTTGATTATTTTTAAACATTACATAAGAAGCTTCCTGCATAGAATCAAACAATACATATATATCTTCAAGGAAAATGTTTATTTTAGATACAAGAATAGTTGTTACAATTAATTTCGAATTGAATAATCCATCATGTCAGGATGGTGTTAATGTAAAATTTGCACCTTGTTCACGTGTCCATGTACCAACCTGTGTGAAAAAGAATTGAAATAAGATTTCGATCCAAAGACAATTGAATTACTTTGATAAACCTAGTTTCTGATAGATGAACAACATCAAGTTGAAATCCAGTTCGTTCACCATTTGATGTAAATTGTACTTTTCCAGTAATTCCACCAAAAAGAAATCTAATCGAAAATAAATTGGATAGGTTAAACTAGAATAATGAAATTACTTGATTAAATTTTGAATAAAGTTCAATTGCTAATGGCCATCCACGACCATCAGTACAGGAAATATTTGGACGAATTAATTCTACACCAAGACGTAATTGAGACACAATTAATTTATCATATGCATATGCATATGCAAGTAATGCATCAGTCCATAATGCCACTGAAGTCTAAACTATGCCATAGAATGAATAATTTGACCATTAGAAAAATAAACAAAAAAAGAAAAGATTATTCCAATCACTCACTGTAAATAATTATATTTCCTTTGAAACAACTACAAGAACTTCTTGATATTCAAGAAAAGTGATTGTATTCTCTCTTTTATCTTAATCGTACTTCCACACGTGCACGTGATACATAATTCATATATACTATGTGAACGTGGAAAAAAGATGAAGATAGCAGCAAGAAAAAGGAGAAAACTCTCTATCGTTGAATGACGAAAAAGTTTTTGTTGGCATTGAAAAATAAATCTAATTGCTAATAAAGACCTTTTCCTTTTCATTTAGTTATTTTATGTTTTGTTGAACATTTGACATATTACTTCTTTCTCTAGAATGTCTTCTTGTTTGTCGACTTTTTATCGATTGATAGTATAAAGCTGAAATTTTTGAAAGAAGGATATATTCGCT